TTTTTTCTTCTTCTTCTTCTTCTTCTTCATCATCTTCTTCTTCTTCTTCTTCTTCTTCTTCTTCTTCTTCTTCTTCTTCTTCTTCTTCTTCTTCTTCTTCTTCTTCTTCTTCTTCTTCTTCTTCTTCTTCTTCTTCTTCTTCTTCTTCTTCTTCTTCTTCTTCTTCTTCTTCTTCTTCTTCTTCTTCTCTCCAAATAGGCCCTACTCCTGTCCCCCTGCTCTTTTTCCTGGGTGTAAAAAGGAAGGGAGGGGGAATTCGGAGACTTGTTTTTGAAAAGTTTGAGAATGAAGCTCATTTGTGTCTGCATTTTCTTATAAACTCATTCTGGATAAGTGCAGTTAACCTGGTTGATGTCAAGAATAATATAGTTTTAGCTTGTTATAACATATTTGTTGTGGGCTTCAATTTCACGGCTAAGCCATGTGGGCAAGATGTACGGCAAGATATTGGAATGGCGAACAGGACACAAAGTTGAACCATTTCTGAGTGAGGCCCAAATGGGACTTAGAAAGGGAAGAGGATGCACTGACGCAATATTCGTCCTACGACAAATATGCGAAAGGGTAATAGAACACAACAGGGAACCAAACATTATATTTGTCGACCAGGAGAGAGCGCTCGACAGAGTGAACAGAAACAAGCTGTGGAAAGAACGCAAAAACTGCACTGTAAGAGGCCAACTTCTAGATAACATCCGTGCCATTTTCGAGAACAGCATAAGAACAGCAAGAACGTCAGAGGGACTCACAGAATGGTTCGAGATAACATCCGGAGTAAGACAAGGTTGTGTCCTATCACCACTACTATTTATCATATATTATATGAATAGAATTACAAAAGAGGCCAAAACAGAACCAGACACCCTAAATGAATTACTCTTTGCTGATGACCAAAGCCTGGCACACAAAGATGAACGAAGTCTCCACACCACCAGGTTAAACGAAGAATATAACAACTATGACATGAAGATCAACTTCAACAAAACAGAATGAAAGTAAGCAGAAAGCCAGAACCACTCAGGATACACATCAACAACAACAGTCTCAGACGGGTCCAAGAATCTAACCACCTCGGAAGTATATTCACAAAGGGTGGGCGACTGAACTGAGAAATTGAAACACGAGTACAAAAGGCCAATAATGTTAGTTACCAGCTTACTCCACTACTGAAACATCTTAACATGCCCATGACAACAAAACTCAAAATGATCAGCACCATATTCATCCCAACACTCACCTATCAATGCCAAACGTGGACCACGAACAAGACATTAGAGCAAAGAATTACAACATGTGAAATGCGATGCCTTAGAAAAGCAGTAAATAGGACCAGGCGAGACAAAATTAGAAACACAGTAATCAGAGAAATGGTGGGCACAAATGATGTCATGCTTCACTTCCAACACCAAAGAATCAAATGGTTCGGACATCTCATGCCATTACCAACACACCACCAAGCACAACTCGCCTTCATAAAAAAAATTCGATGGCAACCAGGCTAGAGGGCGACCGAGAAAGACCTGGATAGATGGAGTCAGGGAAACATTAACAACTCACGGCATTCCCCTGGCTCAAGCTCTCCGGGTGGTGGCAGAAAGACATCTCTTTCTTCCCGCGACTCCCAAAAGATAATAAGCACCGGATAAAAGTAAAAGTGAAGTAAAAGTTGTGGGCTTCAGGATATTCAGTTGGAAATCATCATATAAAAGGCAAGTATTGAAAGAAAAGGAATGTTGTCTTTTGTTCAACGTTATTTGCCGCAAAACCAAGTAGCCATAAACTATCATTTAATAGTTTCTCTCATTTTTGGGGGTTAAAAAATCACTTCTTCCATTTAAAATTTGCTAACACTTTAATGCTCATGCGCCTGAGGATTCTGTTTAAGTAAAAAACATCACTTACCAATAATATTATTCTTGACGACGGAAGCTGAGAGAACATTCCCCCGTGCTGTGTATAGAAAAGTGAAAAAAGAAAATAATGCTACAATCTAGGGCATTACAGCTGATAATGAGGGTTGCCCTTTTCACAAATTACAACCCAAAGAGACTGTTTACGAAAGTTGTTTCATTCATACAAGCGACCCTCAAAATAGTCAACGACCCCCTCCCCACCCCATCCCCACCCCCTCCCTTTCCCCGAAACTTGTCACAGTGGATGCCATTGCCCAGGGCAAACTGACAGAAGAGTTGGTGAGGGAAAGGGTCAAGCCGCTGTTTTACACACGCATGAGGCTCGGGGAGTTTGACCCGGAAGAGGACAACCCGTACGCCCAGCTGAGTATGGATCAGATAGAATCGGCCGAACATCAACAAGTGGCCCTCACAGCTGCCATGAAGTCTTTTGTGTTGTTGAAAAATGAGGGAGGGATTTTACCTTTGAAGAAAGGAGACTTCAGCAAAGTTGCCGTGAGTATAGGTGTGCGAGTGTGTGTGTGAGTGTGGGGGGGGGGGGGTGCATGTGTGAATGGCTTCAGGGTGTTTGTTTTTTTAAACAAAAAGCATACACACACAAACACACACACATACACACACACACACACACACATACACACACACACACACACACACAC